AGGCGGATCCCCAGACACCTCATCTGCAGCTGCAGATGCCAAGCTGCTGGCACAAATCTGGCAGATCTATTTCCATGCAAACTAAATCTCACCACCCTCCACAGACTTCGGATGGTGTGTTTCCTTCTCCTGGAAGAGGAACCCGTGTAGCTCCTGTATCAGGGTAATAGGCTAACAGATAATAGTCACGCAGTAGTGAATGCTTCGGATACGCCTTTGGATAATGTGTGAAATGATGTCTTCGTCTCCTGGCTGGCCTTAAAAGCTCTGCAGACTCATTGTGAGCTGACAAACTCACTCTGTTTTTTAACTCAGCTGGCAGCAACTTGTGCTTCTAAAGCAGAAGGCTCAAAGCAGTGTAACAAAGCCTTGTATGCAGTTTTAGCTGCCAGCCAGGAGCGTGCAGCAATGAATTAATGACTAATTTCAATGATGGAAACCCGATACACAACCTGCACTGTGCTTGTCTTTACAGGGCAAAACCTTACTGGACTCTTCGCACCTCCTGCTCCAGACTGCACCTGATGGTTGCCAAATTACACCCAGGATGGTGACCTACCTGCAATTGGACTGTCTTGGCGAGAGGGCTCCTTTCTCCAGAGTGGGACAAAAACCTTGATGTACGTGTGCCCCCTTTCTCGAAACCAATCCACTGCCAGCTGGATCCCCCAGCAGGAGAACACCTCTTTGTTTCCGTGACTATAAAAAAAAAGGAGGAGGATGGTGAGGCAAAGCTTTCAAGAAGCTTAGAGTTCTCTTTAACTGAGCCAGTAACGAAAAGGCAAAACAAACAGCTTTTGTGTCATTCACCAGTTTCCAAGAAAATAACCTGGCAGGGTGTCCTGGTTGGACAGATCCAAACACCTTCTCCAGTGGAACCAGAAACTTGTTTTCTGAAGCAGTTTGGATACTTAGAAACAGAGCTATCCCATCCCCCATTTCTATGACCTGCCTGCTACCCAAGCCTGTTGCTTCCGTCTGTATCTGGATGGACTTGGGTCCTAAAGTACCAGCAAGATCTTAGGCTGTGTCAGACCCTTCACGTGCCTTGTCTGATAATGGTTTGAGGAGTGAGAGTTTCTTCCAGCACAAGCAGAAACCCGGGAGGCTCTCCTATGAGAAACGAAGTGTGGGAATTTTCTTCTGTGGTAACAGTGACATTAGGGATTTTAATGTCCGAAGCAGCTGCAAGTGTGATCGCAGGTCGTTCTGCTGCTGATCTCTTTTGGAAACAGGAGTCAAACTATAGGGGAAGGAAAACTGTAAGAGGCAGGATGGGAAATACAGAGAACCTAACCCAGGACACCAAAAAAGGGACAAGACCTCAGTGGAGATGGCCACAGGCACCTCAGGCCCATCTTTATTTTGCCCTAGTTGGTGGATTTTGTCTTCATTGCACAGAGAGGTAGGAAAGCCCTAAGACAGGCATTGTAGAGGATGCAGGCAGGGAGGGTTCTGGAGAATTATCAATATTCAGAGCAAGACACAGAAAACAACCTCAAGAAAAACAATTAGGGGTGATATCCTTCCTAAGTTTCTTCCCCCCTATTGAAAGTTCTTACTGCTTGTCATTCTCTTATCTGAAATTTGACTACTGTGCAGTGCACGTGTAAAGGAACGTAATTTATTAACTACCTCTGCACAAGGAAACAAAAATGAACTCTACACAAAGTCCAAAACGGATAAACACCCTCACAGTATCTACAGAAACCTCATCCTTGTACTTTGAGCTTTCTGGAAAATATCACCACAGTCTCACTCAGGTTTTCACCCCTGCAAAACGTACTTGTAAGTGACTCTCCCAGTTACTACACCTACCTGCAGTGACGGACCAGTTGAGAGCGATGCCGCAATCTTAAATGCCTCTCTCCCCACCATCCCCCAGGAATGTAAGTCTAGGTTCTGCCTACATCAGCCTCATAATCAAAGCTCCACCTTACACCTAATAAAAGTTTCAGTGCTGAAATGGTGACCACAAATGAAAAATAGTGCAGTTTGGAGGAAGAAACCCAGTTGTTTATTAATAGCTACCCAGGAAATAGGAAGTCTTAAAAAAAACCCCACCAATAATAAATGGTCTGAAGTGCTTGACACATCTACTTTCCATTCTAGAGCAACTGTTTTGTTTGGGTTTAAAGGACAGGATCTACCTAGGATAGCTATAAAGTCACCTAGACAGGTGAATTGGAAGTGCAGGCGACTTTTCCAGATAACTGCCTTTAAAAGGAAGTCTAGGTACATCTTTAATGTCATGACTCAAACAAAGTTCAACAACAGTCTGCTTTAACATTGACTACTCATATATATAACCTTGTCAGCTTTAGGAAAGTAATTCTAGATGCACCCCCAGTGCAGAAGGCAAAGTACTCAAGCACAAGTGATTTGGCCAAAAGGACAAGCAGAACAAGCGAGAAGAGGCACCTGGAATTGTTTCTCAGCGTTACCACTTAATCCAGTTGCTGCTACATTGCTACAGCCAAACCTGAGGAAGGTGTGTCTCAAGCAGTATGTATGTAAAACTGTATGTAAAACAGTATATATCAACACAACTGAACACCAAGGTCTGCCGCGCAACGGAGCAGGGGCTTTAAAACTTTATGTTCTCCCTGCACGGTGAACTTGTGGTGCCCGACAACAGATTGGTTCCTGTCAGTCACCTCTCCCGCGCACCCCCGTAGTCCAGGGACCATAACTGAGCTGTCATAACTCAGTCCCATCTCTCTCTCCCTTCCACCAGCAGCGGGGTGCATTGCACTGGGGTCACAGATCAGCAGGGACCATCGCTCAGAAACTGAAGCAGTGATTTGGCCTTGCTGTGACTCTGGCAATTAATCCATAACTAGCATGCAGAAGTTGCTTTTTAAATTGTGCAATTCCAACCCCTTTGAGAATAAGTTTAGTCAAAACAACTCCTTTTAAAAACTGCGAATGGCCCCATCTTCACCTCGTCGAGACACAGCATCAGCCACAGCTTTGGCAGAAGGGAGAGAGCCTAACGCAGGATTCCGCTGGCCTAGGAAAAGGCCTCTGTACCTACCACAGCTTAAAAACTAGGTGTAAGTGCAAGCACTAGACTAGATAGCCTCTTTGGTGTGCTGTGAATAGGGTTATGACAATTCCCTTTTCATAACACAACTCCATTTATGTTTTTTCCACTAGCCTTGCTAAACCTTGCTAATCCACTTGCCCGCTTCCCATGGACAGGCTGGCAGACGGCTACGTTTTTCATTACATCTGATGGAAACACAAAGTGTACTGAGGCGCTTGACTAGTGAGGCTGGCTGAAGGCAAGGCTATTTTCCATTCAGTTTCTATGGATAGGCTGATTGATGACTGGAGATGGTCGACTCACTCACTTACTTTATTACCCCGGGCATATACATCCTTTTCAAAACCTCGCAACCCGCAATGGGCCCTCAATGCCAACTCTGAAATGCTCCAGAAATACCAGTCCTAAGATAGAAATACAAATGCTCAAGATGCTTTTCTCCACACAGGCGGCTGCCTCTCCAAGCTTCAACTTTTTGACAGCTTCATCCCTAAACTGCTGCTTCTCCTGCACTTTTACGGTTGTTGGTGTTGATGATGATGAAGTTTTCTCAGCAAGGAAACCTAACATCCCTTTTTCCTGGCTTCTGCAAACAGCCCTTCTCCATCTGACAGCAGCAAACAAGAAAAATTAAAATGAGGATACCGAAAGCACTCACCAAGCCTGTCCCATTAGCCAAAGTAAACGCCATTCGGCACCGCTTTGGAAAGGCATCCAGGAGAGGAAAGCAGCTCCTTCCAGGCTGCTCAGTATGAACTGAACTAACAAGCTCAATAGTCTTCTCCATCATCCAAGCAGTCTTTAACTTTATCAAGACAGAGGTTGGGGATGTCTGAGAAGAGCTGTAAAATCTTTGCCTTTCTGAAACTCATAAGTACTTCACATTCCTCAAATTCCTTTTAGGTGAAAGAAGAGGGATCTACAGCAGAAAGCCAGCCTTCAATAATCTAGCAGGCAAACATCTCTCGGACTCACATTTTGGAAATCATTCTACAAAAAGATTTAAATTTTACATGCCAGAAGCATGTGTGGCTTCTTGAAAACCCATTTAGGTGGGCACGTGGTCTAGGAAAGCAATACAACGTGCTAGCTCAAGCCATTTGCTGCACATACCTGTAATGACATTTGTTTTACATAATCTCTGTGTAGCAAGCTCCCATGCGCGGGCTGGCACAGCGGGATGATCTTGGAGATTTCCCAGAGTACTCCAAGCTCAAAACATGCACTATCTCATTAGGCACCAACCTACTCTGGGCCTCCTGCTAGTGGCAAAGGGGCATCTTCTGCTGCCTTGGAAATAATGCTGTTCTCTGCCCTGTCCACCTCTGCCTGCTCTAAAAAAGCCCTGGGACATCGGTGAGGACGAGGTTGTGCCAGAGAATGAAGTACATGGCCAGCCAGGGGTAGCATTGCCCCTGACACAATGAAAGGGTAGGTGCTCAGCTCAGCTGCTCTGCCTGCATGGGGGCTCATTCCCTTTGCAGAGAGGCAAGAAGGACACCCTAAGGAGGGTCTAGGGTGAAAATGCAAATGGGGGCAGGAGATCCTAACACCTGGCTACAGAGCTGATGCTTAGCCAAGGCTCAGCGATTTTGCTCCGTTGTGTATTTCTCACTCCTCGTGAGCTGCCCTGACAGAGGAACCCCTCGTTTTGGGATGGGATTTCTCCCTTCATCCAGAAGATGGCATGATTTGCTTAGTCGCCAGTTGCTCTGGATGTGCTTGTCCCCTTTGCTCTCTAACCAGAGGGGATGTGGGCTCATCTCACCTCACACCGAAGCTAACCGAAGGAGGAATCCCTCCTCAGCCCTGTCCCAGCCTGCAAGGAGGGGCTCGGCCATGCTGAGCGGGAAGGGAAGCCGACAGGGAAAACCGGTGGATAGCCAGTGCGCCCTGGACTCTCGGCTGCCGGGGTCTCTGGCCGTTCGTATTGCTCCGGTAAACACCGGCCAACCCACAATGTGCCAGGCTCCCCGTCGGTGAGGGTGCTTGCACAGTGTCAGTGCTTAGGAAATGTAACTGGCCAGGATGGGTTGCTATGACATTTCCCAGAAACAGAATTAATTAAGGAGAAAATGAGACTATTCAGTACAAGTCAACTATCAATTCCCTGATGTTTCCACAAAAATGAAGCCAAACCGAAAACCAACAAAAATATACAAGGCGGGAACACTGTTGGGGTTTACTTGCAAGTCAAAACAGTACAACTGCGATGTTGTTAGGAACCACAGCCACCCGTCTTTATTTTCCCTCTCCTTCTTAGATTAATTGGGCTGTTCCGTCTATCTGGTCATCAGTGTTTCCTGGAAACATCTCAGCATATAGATTTTGCAATCCTAGGTACCCATTTGAAAAGGCATGTAAACATCAATGGTGAACTAAAAGGGAGAGAGAGCTGCTGAATCATACTGCCATAAACAGCAGTGGTTAGCTAGCTGGTGGCTTACGAAAGGTCAAAATGCAGAGCGAGCCAGTGATTGCACTTGGCATGTGTATTTACGGGCATGGAGACAGCAGGTCCCTAGAAGCTATGCCTCAGCCAAAGAACAGGAATAAGCAGTGGTTCCTACATTACACATCAAATACATCAGTGCACCTCTCACCTGAAGAAAAAACATGCTTCAAGCATCAGCTTGGAAGAAATTCAAAAGCTTCAGAGGAAGAGAGATCCCTTTTAGGAAACAGAGCTTACCTCATTGCAACATTGCTGCCATCAATCACAATGGGTCTCAAATAATCGGAAGCATCACTTTCATCTTCTCCAAGCCACTTCGACCCTGGTGAAGTGCTACATGAGCCACGGGCAACAAGTTTTAGCGAGGAAGGCTGAGCCTGGCTCTCCAGAGCTTGAGGTTTGCTCCCCATCCGAATCAGCTCTTTCAGCACATCATCCTCCAGGGCCTCTTGGCCCAGGTTCTCCAGCACTTTGCAGATGTCCTGCTTACCATAGCCCAGCTTGCAGAAAAAATCCAGCTTGCTCTGGTGCACTTCCACTCCTGCTGTAGAAACTTTTCTGGAGCGTGCTGGCACTGGCTTGCTAGAAAGTGAACTAGCCAGTGCCATCTTAGCAGGCATTTACGTTCCTTGAAACCCAGCGCTCCTGTCTTCCCAGCCTCATCCAACAGGCATCAGCTTTAGGTGGGGGAAAGATTAGAAACGACAAAATTCGAGCGTTAAGGAAGAACGTGCAATCTCAGTTATTTGCCTAGTGCACAGCAAAGAGACTGTCTGATCAGCTGTCTTCTCTCCGAAGAGACTGTCCACTCTTATTTTTCTGGTCCACTCTTATTTATAAAAGCACTGGAGTGTCCCGTGCAACGTTTGTCACCCTCCAGGCGTTATGTCAGACAGGTGTCATCCTACTTCATAAGCTATGCAACCTGTCTGCACACAGACATGCTGTATGCGTAAGTTTGTTCCTCATTACCTCACAGGAAATGATATAAAGCACGGTGTAACTGGGGATTTTCAATTTGCTCAGTGTGGTTTGTGAGCCACAGATAAAATCTGTCGAATATTGTTGGATGAGCTCAGATGCCATAGCAACTTAACAAGTGTAGCAAATTTCATCGTGTGATTTAAGGAAATGTGTTGTTTGCAAAGTAGCTGGGAACTCTGAAGTTTTTTTTATAGTTTTGTCTTTCCTAGTATGTGTCCGTGTGCGTATACACAGACATACCTTATGAAATTCTGTCACTCATCTGTTCCGATGATGCCTGACTTACTCTCTTCCTGTTATTTGCTATTTCAGTAAGGGCTTTTACGTTCAGAGAAGCGGCTTGTTTTTTGAAAGCTATTGGGGCAGTGGCTGGCAGCAGGCAATCTGAAAAGCGGTTTCGATTTCACTTCTATTTCAAGAGAAACTGGTAATTCAGAAATGAATGTGCAGAAGTAGCAGAAAGCTACTTCAAGCTTCTCCAGAACTCCACTATTTACATTTCTGGTCTACCCAGTAAATGAGGGTGACGAGCAGCACACGCAGGCATACCCAGAGCTGCTTCAGCCCAACGAGTGTGACAAGAGCAGGACAGAGACAGTGACTACTCGTCCATCAAGCCAAACATCTTCGGTCACTGTTGGCATGCTTGCACCAAAGCTTCTCTCACCACGTCTCTGCAATTAGCGGTGCTACCTGGATAAAAGCTGGGACTGGTTCATCTACTCACGTGTAGGACGTAAGGGTGGCCCTCTTCCCTTCACTAATTGCTGCCAGCAAATGGCACAGAATTAACTGACCAAGCAACTACCTCCGTGACAAGCCCAGAGCCGTAACCACGTTGCACCCACCGGCTCCCCTTCCCAGCCCACCCTGCGCGCCGCCGGCCCACCGGCCGCTCCCAGCCCAGCCGTGGGCCACTCCGGGAGCTCAGAAGCCAAAACCATCTGGAGGAAGGCACGGAGGGACTGGAGACAGGGAGACGGGAGAGGAGCGTGAGTGCAGCTCCTCCCCAAGGCATTGAGGACTGCCCGGGCTATGGGGGAGAAATCCGCATTGGGTTCAGTTAATTTAAAACT